AGATATGGAACGAAATATCGTCGTTCGTCTGTTTATCCTGATGATAAACCACTGGTGCGCTTGCGTGTTGACAGAGAATCCGTGTTTAAATGTTTCAACAACGCCCACAAAACGCAAAGTACACACTTAAGGCTGCAGTAGATACAACGTCATCCCTTTCTTAGAGGACAGACGAAACGATGAGTGATTTTGTACCAATTTCACAGTTTCTTGTCCAATTTTGTGGCCTGAAAGATATTCAGTTATGCCCAGTTTCTGATGTGAGGCATTGTAAGTGTGTCTCGCAGTCGAATGGCTCATGATACGAATCCGTGCACTCGTCTTTCATTCTTCATCCTTTCGATAAATGAATACTACAGTGTCTAAAACAAGCAAAAGGTCAGATGCTGTAGGGGCCTCCTAGCTGCAGACAGCCTTTAAGACAAAACAACGCTGCTTTATAGTCACGTCGAAACTGGAATCAGTGCCGCACCAAAGCGGGATGTTACAAACGACGCCACTCGCATCGGAGCATAGATTTGCGCCAGAACTGTTACTTTTACTTTCTATTTTCTAATGTCATTCGTCCTGTTTCACTAGGTCTCTTATTCACAGTACAGTCTTGTACTACGATCTGTACTTGTACATCTGAATGTACTTTTTGTAGTCTCCAAACACTGTTGGCATTTCCGCTGCTATGTAGTATTTCCTCCGGTGTAAACCTGAAGTGTGAGGGTCCAGTACAAAGCTGTTTAAGGTCAAAAGTTGGAGAGAGTCAAAGGTATATCCGTAAATCACTGCAAAAATCTGAACACTATGAACTGTTAGGCAGTCGAAAATCTTTAACAATAATCAATAAACGGTTCATTAGCTTGTACAGCGTAGTTGTTATCAGCAAAAACCACTATCGCCGTAATTAGTAAGCGTGTTATAGAGGAAAGGCAATGATTAAGGCTTCAATCGATCAATCAGTGGCTTCTTCATTACATAAGGTTAACTGTTTCTGTACGTTCGGTTCTTTAAGAGTACTGGAAAGCAATGGCAGAATAGACCGATTGTAGAATTCAGTTCTGGTTAGGATCGCGTCGATAGTACTCGTGTTGCCGGATGCAAGGATGGTACAGTCAGGAACTGCGCAAGCATGAGGTGACGATTATCACATAGTAACAACGAACCCGGTGGCACAGTGGCCTGAATGGCGTTTTACGATCAATTAGTTCTGCGTTAGTTTTACGAAAGATCAGCAGCACGGAAAGTTTTAAGATGGTTTAATGCTTTTTCTGTAAACCAGTAAAAATGACTGAGTTAGCGTAGGTGATGATAAGAGGTAGACAACAACAAAAAAAGTTGTACGTCACTTGACGGAAGGATCTGCAAACTTCAGTAGTATGAACAGACAGCACTGTCCCTTCCACCCTTCGACGAGATCATTTAGTGAATGTGATTCGGATTTTAAACGCAATGGTAATCTCGCTGATCATGTATTCACGACCATCGTTAGCTGGACTCTTTTACTGAGGTTAATAATCAGACTGTGGTTCCAGCGTCGGTTTACAATTCATTTTGTTAATGCAGTATACAACATGTCATATAACAATAAACACTTTAATCTAAACTAACCGAAACTAGTGTGAACGTTTAAGGGCCAGTTAGTTTTGTTCATTTTCATATTATTACTGTTTGTCTCACGATATAACATGTACTCACTTAACCGAATGCGTCATTAACATACCTTACCACGTTTCAGTTACTAATACCGGATTCACACGGTGAAAGTGCATCACTCCCTTTCGCTTTTTTTCTGTCGCTTAGGGGGAACATTTACGCAGGTCATGGCTTTTTGATATTTAAACGCCTGCAGTGCACTGGATGCTAGACCGTATCTTTAAGATGGATTGAACAAGGGCACGATCAAGCACCAAAAAAATTTGCCATTATCCGTAGGGAAATATATAGTTAAAGTAAATTCATGGGGTAGCTACCATGAATTAGGGCACCATACCTATCTTAATATTTTGCTATTATTTGCGTCGCAAACCATGGATGTTAAGAAACCATTATGTGTTAAAACCGAACATGGGACCGGGAAGAGTTTAGAAGCGACCTATTGCAATATTATATTACACATTGTTTAATGCACTGCATGCTCATCTTAGACAAATTATTTGCTGTAAATGCTTCAGTCCGTATGGTCCTCGGAAAAACAATATGAACCATCGATACGCTTCACTAATGCATGTTTACACAGCAAAATCACATTACTCTGTGCTTCTAAATCATAGGAACCCCTTAAGAAGGTGGTTCAGTTCCATGGTATAGGACATGCAATGCGTGAATGCAAAGTTGCGTCACTCTGTTGGGTTAAACAACTTGATCAGCGAAATTCGTTAATTTTTAAGTCATATAAAGAAATATGTATCATACGTAGCATCACATTATGATCGCTTCAGTAGACGAGTTCAACCCTATTACAATATTAACAGATATGCAGTTAAGACAGTATACCCCACAGAAATTAAGAGGTCTTCTGTATAAAATAGGGGCCCTACTACAACAAAAAATCCTTAACTGCACTTGTGGCGACACTTACATCGAAGAAACAGGATATAGCCTGCATAAGCAGATAATCCAGTTATATAATCCAGCTAGATAATTTGAGAGAAACTGGAGAAACAGGTAGCGGAGGCAGTAATAGCGGAACAAATCAGCAACAAAGTTAATAGACGGGAAGAGACGAGAGATGTAAATTTACAATAGACGCTCCAGCTTGGTTGTATTGGTTGTTTTTCATGTGTTCTGTCTTACAACATATTTGCCATTGTACCACCTGATACAACTGCATCCATCGCACATTTGAACTTTAACCACGAACCTGGTTCCAATAAGTCCATCAAACTTTGTAGCAAAATATCCTATAGCATCGCGTTGCATGCTTACCTTATATCTATAGATATCAACGTTACTATCATATGGCTTTTGTTTATATTTATGTCACTGACGTCAGTTAAAGTTGTCAGAGAGTCGATTGTGTAGCAACAAAAATGAAACCAAATGGAAAGGGGATGGAA